GTATGAAAGTGAGTTATGCGAGGGGATCATGTCATATATCGAATACTGTGTGAAGCAGGGGGCACTGATTGCTTCCCTGAAGCAGGGAAGGTTGACCCCCTGCCAACTACCCACGAGGCAACATATGTTTCCATCAAGCATCCCAGGGAGCCACTCTATCCACCTATCAAACCCTAAGCCGCCCCCAAAAGCGTCCGACCCTCAGGACATTCCGGGGCTCAAAGTAATCAGGGCCCAAAAAGACCGGTCAACCCTAATTAACGAGGAGCCCATCGCCTACCCCACCCCCTTCCAACACAGACCAAGGGGCGCTCTAGTTATCCGCCGATCCCAACTCCCAGTCGGCCACTCATCACAATGCCTCCCCTGAGATGCCACCATACTCATTAGTTTTGTATCAAATGTACATCCATAGAACGGGGGGAGAGTTTTGTATCAAATCCATTAGTTTTGTATCGACGAGTGACCACCAGCGGTGATCTCCCATCCTCAGTCAAGCAATCGTTCTTGCGCTGGAACACAACATGCACGACCCGCAGATCCCGCGCTGTTATTGTTGTCGCCATCACCATCGATGGCGGTGATGGTGATATCGTGGTGATCTTCTTTAATATGCTGGATGTCGTTTTGGTAACCGGTGTTGACATTGCTGATGTTCTCATTGTCTCAGGCGCCGTCGCCGAAGCTTCCACCGTTGTCAAATACAGTGCCGACATGTTATTTGGAGTGACGTTGCTATTCACACCATCTTCAACGTCGTAGCTGTTGTTCCTGACCCTGCTGCTGTTGTCCACCTCATCTTTGTCGTGGTGGCCACCATCAGTTATCACTGTTATGATATTTGTTGTTGTCGTTATCGATGTTGCCGTCAATCCTTCACCCGCGCCCAGACTCTGATCACTCCCATCAGAGCGCAGCCACAGCCCTGCCTCCAAGGTGGCACAACGATCCTGCCCTTTCCTGAAGATGTCGTAGCATCCGTGCATGAGAAGCCCTGCTTGATGCCAGTCAATGAAATCATCGAGTTGAGGAGCCGGCCCCTCCTCCAACTCCCAAATGACATCAAGCATGCGCTTCATCATAACCTCCGGCCATGGCCCCAGTGCAGCTGTCCCCCCCATCAGCCCCAAACTGATCCCCACAACTCGAGAACAGAGCGTCCACGACCTCTTGCAAGCGGCGACCGCCTTCTTCTATGACACCTTGCAAGCAACCATGCAGCCGCGCCTCGCCTTAAGTCCCCATTCCAAACCATGTCGACCCACAAAAAAGTGCGCCGTCAGATCCAACAAAAATAGGTGCCTAGCACCGATGTACCGTCTCCCGATGTGCCAGGTGGAAGGTCCACCATCACCTGGACAGGTTGGCCAGGCGGACACCAAGATGACCAGGGTAGCTATGGCGAATCACCACTACGACCGCAGTCCATGGAGTATGGCTGGGCCTCGCCAGCCGGTCCACAGCGCAGGTTAGCGCTAAGCGCCAGCGCGCCCTATTCGGGAGTGTCATCGAAAGTTCCTGAGGCCGGCCTTTGCTGAAGTACCGGGCGCTGCTCTCGGCCGACCTCCTGAGGCTGTGCCGCGTTAATGGGCAAGCCCGCAGCCTATAGCTGGGCCAAGTACCAGTGGTTTAATAAAGATGCGAACTTTCCACAAAAAAAAAAAAGGTCCTTCGGGACATCCGTTAAAATTGGAACGATACAGAGAAGATTAGCATGCCCCCTGGGGCCAAGTCCCACTAGCATCGATTAAAACGGTGGAACAGGGTTGTGTGACGCGCTTTTGGCATTTGAAAAATGGTTTCTGTATTGTTTTCGGATTTAAAAATCTTGCTTTCTACAAGCTAAAGAAAGTGAAATTCAGGTGAGGGTACTCGCATCAGCCAGTAGGCTGTGAGCCATCGCATTCGTCGCCCCTTTTTCTGGATGAGAGTTCGACTCAGCCAATGGGCTGAGTCCTCTGAAGGTAGTTGCTCTCAGGCCATTATGATATTGTGTATTTCTGCACATTAAAAAAAACAAAAGAATGAGGGCGGGAAGCTTCAAAAACACCCCATGGGTAAAAAAAACATAGAATTGAAGCTTCCCGCCCAACGGAAGTGGCCAACAAAAACAACACCAAAATAATTTAAAATCATCCTATTAGCCGAACGAAACGACCCTACATGAAACTGAGGCCAACAACGCTGGGCGTGGATCTGCAGCCGATCGGCGACTGAGACCTGTCACAGAACGTCCCACGTCGTCGAAAACCTGGCCGCGAAGCGTAACTCTTCGCTAGTCGGACTTGGCCCCTGGGGTCTGGTCCCACCTACGGTTGTTGAGCTTAGAAAACTCAACGGTGTGATGCCATGTCGACATTAATAAATTCGGAACAACAAATAAAAAAACTGAAAAAAACGCTAGAAACAGCTTTTCTCCTTATTTTTTTTAACGTAACTGGGAGAAATGAAACATGTCTGGAACAGTCGGAGTGAAGGTCTCCGTGAAAAAGGGATACTCTCCGTGAAAAAGGGATACTCCCCGTGGTGAGGGGACAGGAGGTCACCATTTGTAAAATGGACGGGGACGACGTGGATGGCCAAATGCATTCATTGCCCAAAGAAGGAAAAGAGTTTGATGCCAGACAGCCAAACACAGCTGTCAGAGTTCCTCCGTTTCAGGATGCAATCAGGTCTAAAAAAACAAAAAAAAGGAAAGGCACTGCAGTTGAGAAATGTACCCTACCCTCGGTAGGGTAGTTTTCTCAATGGAAAATGGCTTCCCGCCCAAACCAAAAGGGTGCGCAGGCAGCGGGGGATCGCACGGGTGTAGCTGTCGTTAAGCTATGCTCAGCCAGAGCTTGCTGTTGGGTATGGCGGAGGCGGTGGGGTGATAGAGCGCGAGGGCGCCGAGGTGGAGGCCGCTTCGAGGGGGCAGTACCATGCACCTGCCATAGCCAGTCTTGGTCAACGCTTGTTGGTAATCCTGGATTGACCGTGAGAGGAAGGCAGAGATGTGGGGACGGTTAACGGGTAGGATCTGCGCACCGTACATATCAGAATTATGACCCAATCAGGGGCTTCGCCCGCTGATTGCAGATACGTAATCTTCAGTATCGAACCTTAGCATCGACTTTTGGGCGCTGTGCCTAGGCTCGGGACGACAGATCAATCGATTATGCTCCTCCCCTGCTATCGGCGTGATGGTGCTGCTGAATGAGATGGTTTGGGCTAGGTCTTCAGTCGCTGAGCCAGAGACGACGGATGAGAGTGCACCGGTAAACGTCGACTTCCGGGAGAGAGACGATGGACCACACACTGTGATTGGTATCGCCTATAACGATGACAAATGCTCGGCCGGGGCTTCAGCTATGACCAGGGTTGTCCACTGTTGCTTTTACTCCTGCTTTGGACGTGGTGTTGCTCAGGATCTCCTGATCTTGGGGTTTCGACGACTTTACGATTGTGATATGTGTGACCGTGGTAGCGAGGCTTTAGATAGTTGTGATATAATCCGTGATTCTGAAGTTGATCGGACTAGTGATCGTGGTTAGAATTGCTGTCTAGTGGCAATCAGGGTTTGGGCAACTTTACATAATTAGTAATTACAGCGTGCGATCATCTATTGGTTTGAGCAACTTTTGATGATTTCATTGCTTATTGCGCTTAGCAGTTATAGCTTCGAATTGTTTTTGCGGTATAGATTCGAAATTTCGGTTTATAGCTGTCCAGTGGTGCTTCTTTACGGTTTATTTGGTTATTGTGTTTAGTAGTTATGGATTCGAATCTTTTGCCTCAGGGCTGAATAGGAGAGTAATTAGGGTAAGAGAGATACCAAGTTTAGCAGTGTATGTCTCCCATCGGTTGGCAGTAGTGGTTATGGTTCTAGCATTATTGTTTGCGGTAATTAGTACTGGCTAGGGTTTGTGTAATTCCGAGTAATTTTGTGTTTTGTGCGGTTTTTTGATGACGGGTCAATAGTAAACAGCGTTTGAGTAATAGATAGGGTTTGAATTCGACTTTTCTTTGTATTTAGGTAACTACCTTTTTGTTGCTTAGGTTCTTTTTAGCAACTTGGGACTGATAGTACGGGGGGGACCGGGGTCTCGGTAGCTAGATGGCTGGGGTCGGGGATAGGGTTGGCCGAAGTGCCTTTCTTAGCCTATGATGGCATCAGCATCTATGTGAGGGACACCGGGCCCATTTCCCGGTTTTTATAATGAAGTTGCTTTTTCTTAAAAAAAAAAAAAAAAAAGGGCCAATGCATACTACAAAACGGATTTCACGTCAAAAAAATATTCTACAAAATGACTAAACCCTGTCTCTTATACACATCTAGATGTGTATAAGAGACAGGACTAGACCCCTGCGCAAGGATGACACGCATAAATCGAGAAATGGTCCGAACTCGCATGTGTGACTGGACGCCAGGCCCGGTTCCCCTTTTTGATATTAATAAAGTTTGATCCTCTTTCACAAAAAACAAGAAAAGAGTAGAAGGCCTGTGTCTTTTTGTAAAAAAAGAATAAGAAGAAGGAGTGCCCCATTTGGTGAATTTTGGTCATATAAATCCAGGTGAAGTGCTATTGTGAGTGCTTATATAGGCACACCGCGCCTGAGAGAGATAGGGTACACATTTGTTCAACCTAGTTTGGTAACTTCGGTTTGATTTTTTTTTTTTTTGGTTTTTTTTTTTTTTTTTTTTTTTTTTTTTTTTTTTTTTTTTTTTTTAAAGAAAGTCACTGTTTATTAATACCAAAGCCGGGAAGCGGGCCCCGCGTCCCTGACAAAAATCGCCGCAGTACTGAGCTGAGCAAGGCTCTTCGGCCAAGCAAAGCTCATACCACGACTATGCCTGGACTGTATCATTTGATTTCTGGCCACGCTCATACAAGAAAGTGCTATTTTGAATATCCCAATACACACCACTGACCCCTAAGAGAAAGGGGAAGATCCCACTTAGTACCTGGATTCTCTCTCTCGGGCTGCCAATCTGAATGTTATCTACGGTCAGGAACTAAGATGCTGGGTAAGTGGGATCTCAATCTCAGCCACTGGCTTTGGATCACACTGGATTATTCTCGAAAAATGGAAAAAACTTCATAAAAAAATAAATAAATAGAAAACCGGATTTTCACCCATCCATTGGACATAATGCACTTCAGGCTAAGAACTGTTTCTTTTCTGTATTTTAAAGAATGGCCAAAGAGTTTGAGCCATATTTGGATTATTATATCTTGGCGGACCTTATAGATCTTTTACGCAGAATCTTGGGCACCAATACAACTGTTAATGGAGCAACCTGAGTTTGAATCCCGACGGGAGTAACTCTGTATTCCCTGGGAGGCCGACACCCTTTTTATACCAACCAGTACATGGCCCAGGCAAACTTGAGAATTGAAACTGGCTCATCCCAAAAAGTTTGGAGGCTCAGGGCTATGGGACCAAAAATGGCTGGCGGCACCAGCCAAAAGGGAAAAAAGAAGCTCCGCGGTGGTGTTTCGGCAAAACTTAGTGCCCAGGGGGAATCCGCCCTGGGCAAAAAGGGTTCGGATGTACTGGTGGTTGGCGCACAGGAGGAATCTGCCTTGGCAAAAAGAGATGCGGAGTTGTACTGGTGGCTTAGACCACCAGTACGTCCCAACCATTTGCTGAAAAGCGCCGTGCATGCTGGCGCATTGGGTGGGATGCACTGGGGTGTCATTTCGCTTGAAAGCCATCCAGGCAAGTCGGGCCACGCATGCAACCCGTTTTGCCTGGATGGACTTCGGGCGCGAGTATTTCGCCCAGCTTCAAAAACAAATATGTGGCTCGTATACGGCCACAGCTTTTGGGGGTCAGGCTTCTGGACCAAAACTGCTGGCACGCCAGCCAAAATGAAGGCTCTGCTTCAATAGCTGGGCAAGGACCGCAAGGTACTGGTGGTTCAAAGGAAGAAAAAAGTATTCTCACTAGCAGCACCGGGATAGGATAGAGTTCAATAAAAATGATCATATTGGAGGGGGGGGCGAGGGAAAGAAGGGAGGGCAGCTGGACGGGCCCTTCCATGATTGAATCATGGCAATATCGTAGGAGGACTTTTTTTTTTTTTTTTTTTTTTTTTTCAAATCACGGGCCCAGTGCCCAAGGCGTATATTCCAACAAC